TCTAGAATACGATAATAACTCACCACGAGCAGCTGCAACAGCAGCACCAGCAGAAGCAACACGGTTTGTTCGGGCGCTGCAGCGGAGCCTGTTGTTGCTGCTGCCCTCCTGAGGGCGACTGCTCCTGCTGTTGCTGTTGCTGTTGCCTGTTGTTCTGGTGGGGAGGCGTGGCGGAGTTGTTGCCGGACGAAGTGCTGCCTCCTCGCAGGCGGCACCCCGAGCCAGAGTTGGGTTTATCCCCGCCTGCGGACTCACTCGCGTTGGACATCTGCAACGATATGACATATCACACATAAGCTTTCCGACAGAATGATTTGTTGTAAACACTGTTCTTCGGCCCACTTCCCTCCCTACTTTGATGAGGAAAGCAGGGCTCACAAATTTGTTTACAATTTAGTATCCTGTTGTGAGGAATACTTTTCAGATAAAATATTTGCATTCAGTCAACACACGCAAAAAATGCACCACATTATACAGCATGTTTTGACAGTTTCTGTCATCATGGAGCACTAAAAATATATGATACATCGGTTGATACACATTGTTAACTACCATCCTTAGAAATTTTGTTTCGGTTACAGTGGACATGTGTGTCGACTGACAGAATATTGCAACATTATAACATTCTCACTTGCGCACGTATGCACGTCTTCTTGCTACTTGAGGCTTTTGAGAATATGACTGTTTCATGTACATAAGTTTTCGGCTCACAACATAACATATCCCCCCCCCCCCCAAAAAAAAAAAAACCCTGAGGCTCAAAGATTCTGTTTAACCTTATGCCGGCACTCTTAATGTGACTATGCGGTTCTAGATGAATTGTCTTCAATGTGCCCTTCAGCAGCAAAATATTGGCTCAAATGTTGAGTCGTGGGTTAGCTCAACTAAGCCATAATACCAACCATTTGATTGAGATAGATTTGGGAGAGTACGCATAGCGTAAAAGTTCTGGGCGTTCACAGAAATTTTACCTTGACCTTTCAGAATATCTACAGCGATGTCAGTGTTGTCTGCGGACAATATCCTTTGCGTGAGCAGGGTGTATAACTGGATGATTATGTCGTCACGGAAGATTCTGCCTCTCAGATAACCGCAATAACAAGAAGAACAAAGTAAATATCATCTGTGGTCATATCGAAATAGCTCAAAAATTATTTAAGCTCCTCTGTAAAGGGGTCGTTAAAAATATCCGATCGAAACAAAAATAGAACTAAATAACTTTTCGTAAAATCTTCCAATATAAATTTTAATGAGAACTGGTTTAATGATTCTCGAGTTGTTTCACGCGTAGGACAGACGGACAAGCGGGGCGATGTTCATATGGGCTCAGCAAAGTCCGAATGCGTCTACAATTTTAACGCCTGCAAGAGACAAATGCTAATGACTGCTGCTGTAGGTAGCTTATACAAGGATCAAGGATAATTAGCGCACGAGAAACAAAAGTCCTTCACTTGACAATAAGAGCGTGGAAGGAGGAAGGCACGATCTTCTAAAACACGGAACTATAAACGGGTTGGCAGGTGAGTTTGTGCGTGCCCTGACATCTATGTGGATATGACATTCAATTTACAGGGTTATGCCGCGACAAAGTAAACTGAAATAATTGTACGACAAGTTTAACTGGAAACATTGTTTCGCGTTTAACACCAACTTAAATGTCCCATTACCCTCGCAGGATCTCTGTGATATGATTTGTACAATGTCTGATAATAAAATTCGCATTATACCACGACCCCAAATAGTACTTTTGAATCACAGCATCCAATAAATGGCAAAACAATCAAGAGGACATAAACTGATTTTAAATGCAACAGCGGCTTGATTTGAACTTTACAGTTCATCTAGCACCCATCCGTAACATCTTGTCTTACTTCACAAGGTATTTCGGAATTACGTTCGAACATGGATAGAATCTTCTACGTCTTATTCGATAAATCAACAGAAGTGAAAGCTAATTTACGCAATGTTATAAGAAAAGACAACGTTTTACAACAGCGGCCAGGCAGGCAAACACAATGGTAATTACGAACTAAAGGAACTTTCACTGACAGACTATGCCAAGCCGAAGATTGTAGTGTTTAACGAATGGTATGGAATAACAGATGATTTCATTAAAGGACCGCGATTATCTAATTTCGTTACCTTACAGTGCAGGTAAGATGAGGTTCTCGCAGCGGTGAAGCGCCGATTGTGGGCTTTTGGGTTGAGACGGGGTTTAGTACTGCAGGTGATTACCAACCACTTACAACATACCACAGAGTCACAACCCAGAAGACCACAATGCAACCCCCTTGCATAAAAAATCTGTTGTGCCATCAGTAGCGTCTTAGCACCTTTTCTCCAATTGCGTTGAAGGAATCTAAAAAAATACAGGTCTACTTCTGTGTAATTACGATAAGGACGTGCCTTAACATACATAAACCTTAGATATAAGGGGGTCACAGCAGGAGCGTTGAATGTCGCGGCCTCGATCGAACCCATGTACTGATGGGTCGTGAATCCTGCTAACCACCAATGCACACCATGCTGAATGGTGTGTACTGGACACAAAAAAAACTTAGGTATCAAATTTCAAATCTTTTGACAAAATTAGTAGCACTAATTAATATGTGAAACAGCATCAGAAAACAATGAACTTGATTATATTTGCTCAGAACAAGTATGGATTACTAGAACGGACTTCTTCTAGTGCAGAAATGGATTAGGCCTTCCGATGATTCCATTTCAGAATTAACTCTCAAATTACGAAGCTTTTCAAACATTCGGCAAGTCTTCTGGAAAGAGGAAGTACCCCAACACAAAGCCATTATACAGGAGAGCACAAAACAACAGAGAAAACGTCCTGCGCACATCAATGCCCCGAGAGGGATCTGAGCCCGCGACCCTAGTATTTGAGCACTTGTAGACTGTATGGCCCTCAAACATTCATTAAAACGTCTTGTACTGGAGATCGGACCATGTTCATACTTCCATAAGAAAACATATAACATGTCCCTAGAGGGATTCGGAAGAACTACTCCATGGGTACAAGAATGAGCGAAAATGGCGTATTGGTTCCTTGTAAGGAGGTTCTGCAAAGAAGACTGCAGTTTCTGAAACAGGTCGAGCATTCCATCGGTCATGGCTAGATTAGACGGCAGTTAAGAACCGGTGTTGTGAGGGAAGAAGGAAGGACGAAGGGGCTAATCGACCCGAAACGCGATAACAAGCAGCGAACATGCCACGAAGGATTCCCACTGATGAGTACCAATTTTCCGATTTTCTTCAACAGCGTGAGGCTCACCTGTAGCCTGCTTCACAGGTCGAATAAAGGGTAAAGTGCTGACTCTACAATTGTTCCCAAGTCGGAAATTCGCTTCCGTACCACACATTCTTTTGTCTTTTTTTCACCGTTTTTTTGCTACACGTCTAAATACCCCATGCAGATACTTACATCAGCGGACAGAACGTTGGACGTGCAATCGAGATGCCACAAGTTCGATTATCAGCTGCAGAACGTCCATCACGACAGGGTTTCGAAGTTTTCCGACACTCTGGTCTATTTCGTCCCTTCATTACACCTGTAAAATTTCCCTTATTTCTATTTACTTTCTTTAATTATTACATATTTCTTATCCTGATTTTCCTAAGCTGTCCTGCTTGTAATTGTCCTCATCCTTTAGCAATATGCATTGCATTAAGTTTAAATTTTATTCGTTCAGTATAAACCTTTATCTACACAAGATGTAGAGATACCATGGCCATTACTCATGCTTACACAGAAACCATTTCTTTACTAAGAATATTTCATAGGTTACATGAATATCAAACAGGATGCTCTACTGGTTAACATACAAGTAAAATGCTTATCAAGAGGTCTGTGTTTAATGTTAGTTTTCTCATTTCACAGATATCAAAATACAAGACTGTACCAGTATGCTTGAAGTTTATGGAGATGTTAGCTACACTGATGTCTCCTCCATAAATTATACGACGCCTAGTCGTTGCATTTCAAATTATATATGAAATGCTATTCCTTATAGATACAAATGTAGCTCACTGTAGGTACGTACGTAGGTAAGCTACTAACAGAGGCAGTGCGCTACGCTTTGAAACGGGCCTGAAGCTACAGTTTCTCTAAAGCCTCTGTGTATCCCTGGTTCAATAGCATCGGCTAACAAAGCGACGTTGTGTTACCGCAGGCTGACGCAGCA